GGGTATCATGCCCCGTTACTTTTTACTTTTTTACTGGAAACGATAATGATAGCAATGACAGTAATAATAATAATATTATTATTATTATTTGCAAAAAAAAAATGAATATTATTATTCACGACTCTTTGAAAAATATGGATACAAGTAAAAAATATACTTCATACTAAATAGTACAATACAATTAAATGCAACATGTAAATAATTGTTTACTTAGTAATTGCTAAGCACGCTTATGTGAGAAATGACGGGATAATATTAAGAGCGTGTTCGGTTGTGTTTAAAATCGAATTAAAATTGAAAATACAACTGTTATTGGATCTCGTTCGTCTAATAAAAGTCAACAATAACGATTAATTTTTCAATTTTAATCCTATTTTAATTTCTACCGAACACGCCCTAAATATAAATATTTGAAGTGACCTGAACAAGAAATCATTACTCAAAATATTAGTTTAATGTAATTTGCCCAAAGAACAATGAAACAAAAACGAACCTATTTTTTTATTGTGTTAACGGATTGCAACATCTCAGCATGGTTGAATTCAATCTACGGTGATAAAAGTTCCTACAGGGGCGACCTGAGAACACATGCCGAATCACTTTTTCATTCGACCTTTTAAACGTCGAGGGGTCGAATGCAGAAACATTAGTTGAAATTGTGATATACATGTGGTCTCATGTCGACCCTGTTGGACCCTTTCACCATTACATTTTCTTCCAATACTAAACTGCCTGTATGCAAATTCTTATATAGCGCAGGGCGCGTACATTTTTTATTTGAGTACTGCACTACAGTACATTGTAAGATTAAAATGCATGGGAGTTTGTACTTTACAAGTACAGTATTGTACTCTGTGTTACCATTATCCATTTGTTGTACTACAACGGGTCATTGTACCGCGCGTAGAAAGAATTTTCCAATAATTTTACCTAATTTTCCACACGAGCTCGATTCTTTTTAAAAAAATATTTTCCCGAAATGACATATGACGTTGTGCCGTCATTAGCTTATTTTCGACCAATCATAAGCCAATAATGATTACACAACTTCATGAATCATTGTTTGATGTCATAATTCAGTCTAGGTGCTATAATGACCTTTTTGGTGGACCCAACGACCTAACAAGGGACCAAGATTTGATGCGATGGTACGCATTCCTAGGACTATAGCTGAAATGATATTGGACATACTAGTGGTGTGATCTTTCGACCTATAAATAGAGACATAATCCCCTCCTTTCATAAATTTTCAACAAATTATTTTACTGGTTTTCTATTAAGCCCCTATTTGATAGTCATTATTTTGAAAAAATAGAGTTTTGAAATGTGATTTTTTTGAAAATATGTGGTTAAAAAAATAGAAAAAAAATTTGGATTTACGTGTAAAATATTTTATTGTATAAATGTGTAGTTGAAAATAAGTATAAGAATTAAAATTTTTTGTCTAAATTTGTTACGTCATTTTTAGTTATCAACTACCTGTTTGTTTGTTCAAGTATTAGAATCGAGGATTAAACGGTTGTGATCAATTTCTCACTTAATTCGGCTCCAAATTATTATTTTTATAATTTTTCATTTACATTATAAAAACTCAGTATATCTATTCAAAATACAATACTTTTATCACATGAAAACGAAATAAGTGGAAGTGTAATTGTTGACCTCAATTTCCGTAGGTTACGTGGTCAATATGTAAATATTCTACGTGAATAACTTTCTACACACAATAGAAATCGTTAGTCACTTGTGGCCTTCTCCAGCGGTGGTGGAAGCGATCGCGAGTACTCCGACGATCAAACCAGTTAATGTTGAAGAACAAAGGAAATAACATACTTTAATTTCAAGATAATAAAGAAAGTGTGCGTTTTAAGTGTATAGGATTGCATTACTCCTGAAATCGAGGGTGTCCAAAAGTCTCGAATCGAATTGGATCCGACCGAACCGAAATCGAACTGAAACGAGCAGTTCTTCATAAGTTAAATACCCGAACGGGTACCCGAATCGAGAACCGATTGATTTGAGTCCGGTCTCGGGTCTAGACCAAGAACCGAAAAATCGAAACTAAATTTTTTTTTTTTTTTTTTATATTGTATTAATTAAATTATTTT